CGCCAGGATCCTGGGTTTGATTCTAGCCTCGGGCGACTGTGTGGAGTTTCTGCATTCTCCCCATTTCTGCGTGGGTTTGCTCCGAGTACTACAGTTTCCTCCCACAGTCCAAAGATGTGCAGGTTAGGTGGATTGGCCATGCTCAATTGCCCATACTGTCTAGGGTGGGAATGCCTGGGATTGGGTAAAGGGTGGGACTGGGTGAGATGCTCTTTGGAGGGTCGATGTGGACTCGATGCCATGACAAAGTTGTACAGTGTCGTGGTCGATGTTGTCCTGAAGGCTGGGTAGTTGGCTGCAAACAATGCTCTGTTTAAAGTTTGATGTGCAAGTGCCGGTGTTGGACTGGGGCAGACAAGGTCAGTAAAATCACATGACACCAGGTTATAATCCAAACAGGTTTATTTGAAAACACAAGCTTTCAGAGACTTGTTCCTTCTTCAGCTGTTAGTGAGCGAAGTAGTATCAGACACATAGAATTTATAAGTAAAATGGTCAAAGGTTCACACCACTGATGAGGATGTACTAAACAAACCTAAGATGCTGTTAAATCTTTAATCAGTTAAGAGGTTTTACTTGATTAAAATGTATATGTAAATCCCCATATTCCTTTCATGTCATGGTCCTGAGAGAACTAAAGGTTTTAATCAGCGTAAAGAGGTGACATTTTAGGTCAGACAATGCGTGTTAGGTGTGAGGCCTTGTTTAGAACTTGTTTGTGCTTTAGTTTGGAGTCAGACTGGTTTTATTTCTAAAGTGGGAATTTGTAAAACGCCCGATTGATTGACTATCTATAAATTGTGTGTTTTTTGAGCAAAATAAAAAGGTATTTGCAAATACAAATTCACTTCATAGATTGACATGCATGGGAGCGAGCGAGCGAGCGACTGCGAAGAACACTCTCTCTCTCTCTCAACACACACACACACACACACACACACACACACACACACACGAGTCAGTGGCATTTTAATAAATTCCTACTTTGTTTTAACTTGGAGTCAGACTGGTTTTATTTCCACAGAGATTCTAAACGAGGCTTCACACCTAAAATGCATTGTCTGACCTGAGGTATCACCTCTGGTATACTGATATAACCTTTAGGTATCTCGGGGCAGTGACTTGAAAGAAATTCTGGATTTGCATATTAATCTATCGAAACCTACATCTCCTTTCTCACTGATTAAAGATTTAAAGATTTAACAGCCATCTTAGGTTTGTTCAATCACATTCATATCAGTTCTGTGACCCTTTGATCTTTTGCTTCTAAATTCTGTATCTGATGCCACCTCTCTCACTAACGCCTGAAGGACCAAGACACTGAAAGCTTGTGTTTTCAAATAAACTTGGACTATAACCTGGTATCAAGTGATTTTTGACCTTGTCCACCCCAGTCCAACACCAGCACCGCCACAATTATAACTATTACAAAAGCTCTGTGGTTGTGCAAGATTAGAAGAATTGGCATTCACAACAGTAGACTTCAAAAAAAAACCTGCAGCATCCTCCTTTTGATCACGACTGCATTGTTGCATTTTGTCACTATCCTTCTGGATCCACTATAAAATTGTTCACACTTAATATTTCACAACTATACTACACTAACTTTTTAAATTCCTTTCTAATTCCTACTGCTCACATTCTTCCTATTAGAAAAGTGGTCTGTATAGGTAAATCCAAGTATTTGTAACTGCTTATAAATTCATGACATCTGTCTAAATAAATATTCATAGATGAAACAAGAGCCCAATAGGCTAAGTTCAATTTTCAAAAACAAATGTACAGAATATTATCCTCTGTTTTTTCCTATGACTGGAGTTAGGTTGACAATCCTACAAAAATGATAGCTGGTGTCCAGCTTACAACTAGAATGGTTGGTTTTCAATACAAACCACTCATCTCACTGTCAATACTAACCACCAGAACTGGTCACTATCAGGCTTGTCACACGTTAGATTTGTAACATGGATAAATTACTATTTTTCTGAACCTTTGCCGACAGTAAAAGCAAACTCTATCATAAATTAACATTCTGGAATAACTATATCTTTTGCCATTTGAAGGATTTTAAACAGTTACAAGAGACCAAATGACTGTATCACTTCTGCTTCAAATTGTTAGAACACTTCTCTTTGCTACTGCACTGCTCACTGACTTGCAACATTTATTTGTTGACTTATCCACAGATGCTGTCTGACTTCCCAGACATCTCCAACATTTCTGGATCTGAATCAAAACAGTTCAGCAATAAATCAATACTGGTCACAAATATGAAGAATGTAGGTCAGCCACCATAGTGTTGATGCATTTAATGGTAAATAATTTGAACAGTAAAGTTCACGAAGGGTAGAATACAAGCAGCCAGCCGAGAGTGTATTACATTTGTTACGTTTAGAGGTAGCGAAGACATAAGGGTTTGACAGCAGATGAGCCAAGGTGGGGTGAACTAAGAACAAACACAGCAAAGGCAAGCCAGCTTAACCACAGTAGTGGAAAACTTAGAAATTGTAATCTGAATAAATTTAATAGACATTTGGAGAAGTGTATATTACTTAACAAAAAGCCAGCATGAATCTGTTAACTACTGGTGAATGACCTTTTTTTTGGACTGGAGGTTGGCAGACAGTTGTGATTTCAGGCATCAAATTGCTTTTCTTCATGTAATTTAATTATTTAGAATAGAGAAATCAAATTTTACTGATGACAAAATTGTGAGTATAATGAACAATGAAGAAGACAGTGATAGTCTTCAAAAGGATACAGACTAATGGAATATGTGCAAAAATCAAAGATCAGAGCAGTTTCAGAAAGTGGCTAAGAAGTTATTAAGTACAAAAGTAAAGTAAAGAAGAACCTTTATAAGACATTGTTACTATCTCAACTTCCCTAAAACACTTTAGGAATAATGTGCAATCAGGACAGTACAGAAAAGATTTCCAAGAATGTTTGTCATTTATATAAATGATTTCAATGAGAATACAGAATGCATGGCTTTAAGTTTGCAAATGACACCAAAATTGGTGGCATTGTAGACCGTGAAGAAGGTCTTCTGAGATTGCAAAAGGATCTTGATTAATTGGGTCAATGGGCTGAAAAAATTGCAGATGGAGTTCAATCTGAATAAATGTGAGGTATTGCATTTTAGTACAACAAACAAGGGTGGTACCTTTACAATTAATGGTAGGGCCTTGAGTATAGAACAGAGGGACCTAGGGGTGCAGGTATACAAATTCTTTAGAGTTTGCATGTAGTCACACATAGACAGGATGGTTAAAGAGGCACTCGGCACGCTTGCCTTCATTGCGGAGTCCTTTGAGTATAGGAGTTGGGATGTTATGTTGAGGTTGTACCAGACATTGTCGAGGCCTTTTCTAAAATACTGCGTCCAATTCTGGTCGCCCAGTTATAGTATGGATATTATCAAGGTTGAAAGGGTTCAGAAGAAGTTTACCAGGATGTTGCCAGATATGGAAGGTTTGAGTTATAAGGAAAGGCTGGATAGACTGGGACATTTTTCACTAGAGTGTAGGAAATTGAGAGGGGACCTGATAGAAGTTTATAAAATAAGAGGTATAGATAGAGTTGATAGTAGTTTTCTTTTCCCTAAAGTGGGAAAATTTCAAGACGAGGGGCCACATTTAAAGTGAGAAGAGAAGAGAAACAGATTTAAAAAAAGCCAAGGCAAGGGTGGTTTGCGTGTGGAATGAACTTCTTGAAGTGGTGGATGCTGGTACAATTACAACATTTAGAAGACATTATGAATAGGAAAGGTTTGTAGGGATATGGGCCAGGAGCAGACAGGTAAGACTAATTTAGTTTGGGATTACGTTTGGCATGGACTGGTTGAACCGAAGGGTCTGTTTCTATGTTGCATGACTCTATGACTCTTATAAAGGGACTCAGTTCACTCATTTAACCGAGGAAACTGGAAAAGTTCTCCTTATGGAGGTTTGAGAGTAGCTTTGTTAGAGGTGTTCAAAATCATTTAGGAATCTAGATGTGAGAGAGAAGAGAATGAGAGAAAGAAAGAAAGAAAGAAACTGTTCTCATTGTCAAAAGGATCAAAAACTAGAGGACGCAGCTCTAATGATTAGGAATTTAACCAAAAGCATTATGAAGAATAAAAGTTTAACACAGCAAGTAGTTACAATTTGAATGTATTATCCAAATTGGGAGTGAAGATAGATTCAAGCATAGCTTTCAAAAGAAAATTGGACAAGATTCTGAAGAGATATTATTTGCTATACAATGAAGAAAGAGCCAAAGAGGGGAACTAGTGACACTGCTCTTGCAGAGCAGGCACAGATTCAACAGGTTGAATGGCTTCCTCTTGTGCTAAAGTAATGCTATGATTCTATGTTCTTGGTGTGGGGCATAAAATAAAGGGCTAAGGTATAATCACACAGCTCACATGGCTTCTGCAAGAATGCAAAGCTGTTATACTGAAAAAAGCCTTTTGAGTCTCAATATTTGGATGTCTAAATCATTTACCCATAGGGATTGAAAAATATGAATGTATCTATATTTTTCAATGAATGCAACATTATTTAAAGTATAATCCTTGATTTGGACAGACCACTTCATTTATGATTGAAAGGCCAAATGTCTTCTCCATTCCTTCCATGCTGCTCCACGCACCCATTTCTGAGTGCGTCCAGTGTAGCTCCTATAAACTGACGCAATACATATCCAGTGATAAAAAAGAAATCAGTTAAGGAGGATTACTTTCCTGCTTAGTCACAAGAATCTTTAAATACATACATGATTGAATAAAATATGCTTCCATGATATTTGCAATAAGACACAGATCATAATTCAGAACAAAAAAGGTTAGAGAGTGTCCCTACATTCAATTTGATTATAGGTTTAAAATATCTCAAAAAGTCCCAAATCCCACAATTATGAGAAATCACAGATCAATACCTTAGCATTTTGGATCAAGAAACAAAGATCAGAAGAAGATTTTAGATCATTTTTAAAATAGTACGTTCATGACTCACGTGGTTCCTGTCCCCATCCATGCAAGTGTAACTTTCCAGCAGAATAGTAGAGAAATCCCAAGACCAGCATCAGACAAAGAGCCAGCAACAAATTGCGGACAGATCCCAGCAAACTCATTTTCACATTATTCCCAGAGTTCTACAGTACCTATTCAAAATAAAATCAGTTAATTAGCTCTGGTAAAATGGAGGGAAAACTGTTAAGTCCACAATATCTAAACTTATACAAAATACTGATGTTGGAGATTTTGTCTGAAAAAAAAGAAGTTCCCATACAAACACAAGATCTATAACAGTAACTGAAATACCACAACAGTAGTTTTCAAAAGGAACTGGGGTATTATTTCTGCAGATTCCTGAGATTTAGTAGCAGAAACCACAGAAGCAGAGGAACATTTTACAATTTACTTGATAGCAGGTAAGACAAAGAAAAAAAAAAATTGTAGCACTGGACAGTAAAGATTTGAATATTCAATCAAATAAATAAAGGTCACCATGTAACACACTCAGAGATAGTAAGAGCTGCAGATGCTGGAGTCAGAGATAACAGTGTGGAGCTGGAGGAAGACAGCAGGCCAGGCAGCATCAGAGGAGCAGGAAAGTTGGCGTTCAGGTTTCTTGAAAGAAGGGTCCCGACCCAAAACAGCAATTTTCCTGCTCCTATGATGCAGCCTGGCTTGCTGTGTTCCTACAGCTTCACACACTGCGTTATCACTGTGTAACACACACTGGTTTGACAGGGAGATCTTTTGAAGGACTGGTATAAATCTCCAACCAGCAGAAAGGGGAGTTGGTTCCTGAACTTTCTAGTCTTGGGTTAGTTATGTATCTTCGAGGGGCTTCACTGGAAATTTATCAGGAGTAGGGGATGGCGAAATTTGCCGCAGTCAGCCTCTGATTCAGTCACACTTAAGCATTCAATATTTTGAAATGGTCTGTGATAATGAATCAAATTTCAAAGGCTCTTCAAATCTGAATGTTAGGTGAATAAAGTGTATCCCCAATATCCATTGCTACTCTGACTTAGTAGACACATTGGATGACGTAGTTCACGTTATTTAAAAAAAAATTACAGAAGGCCAAATACGAACAAATATACACAGTCAGTACTGATTTTCTGCAGGAAGTGATAAGTAAATGGTATAAAAATATCTGGGAAATTCAAATTCTCCCTGATCACATTTCTCATTCGTTTGTGCTATCTCCACTGAGAAGAACTAGTCACAGTAAGAGTGAATCACAAAATTGTTACAGTGCAGGATGCCACAATTTGGCCCATTGTGTCTGCACCAGCTTTCCAAACGAGCATTATTGGAATAGCCATCAAGTACCCTTTTGAATGCGTCGATTGAAAATACCTTCACCACACATCCAGGCAGTGTAATTCAGACTTGAATAACTTGCTATGTGAAAAAGCTTTTTCTCACATCACATTTGCTTCTTTTGCAAATTACTTCAAACCTGCACGTTCCCATTCACAATCCTTTTACAAGTGGGAACAGTTCCTCCCTAACTTCTCTGTTCAGCGCCCTCCTGATTTTGGAAACTTCAATGAAATCTTCTCTATGCCTTCTCCTCTCCAAGGACAACAGTCCCAACTCCTTCAGTCTATCTTCATGACTGAAGTTTCTCATCCCTGAAACCATTCTTATAAGTGTCTTCTCTACTCTTACCAATGCATTCACATCCTACCTCAGATATGGCATCCAGATAATGTCTAATTCATACCTTACACAAGTTCGCTATAACCTCTGTGCTCTAGTACTCTATGCCCTTTTCAACAAAGCCTGGTACTGTATTTATTAACTGCTCTCTTCACCTGTCCTGCCACCTTTAGTGACTTATGTAATACATCCAGATCTGTTTGCATCTGCACACCGTTTACAATTTACCTTTTACTGTCTCTCCATATTCTTTGTAACAAGTGCATTACTTCACACTCCTCTAAACTTCATTTGCCACCTATCCACCCAATCTACCAACTTGTCAATATTCTTCTGAAGGAAGACACCACCCTCAAAACGGTTTACAAGGCTTTCAAGCTTTGTTTCATACACAAACTTTGAAATTGTTCCATGTACACGAAGCTCTAACTCATTTATATTAATCAGGTAAAACAAGGTAAGGAACTCATCTACAAACCTTCAGCAGCCCAAAAAATACCTGTTTACCATTACTCTGCTTCATAATACTCGGCCAATTTTGTATCCAGATTACGACTGTACATTTTATTCCATGAACTCTAACTTGTTTAGATGACTCTGTTCAGCACTGTATTAAAAACACCTTTTGAATGTCAATGTACACCATAATCAACATTACATTCATCAGTCCTCTGATATCTCATCAAAAATCTCTAGTAAAATACTTAAAACACCATTTTCCCCTCACAAAATCATTATTTACTTTCCTAAGCTGACTCACATATGCTCATGTGACTGGTAATTCTATCCCAAATTATTGTTTCCATACCACTGAAGTTAAATTGACTGGTTTGTAATTGCTGGGCTTATCCTTTTCGGAACAAGCGTGGAATGCTTGCAATTCTCCAGAGCTCTGGCACCACTTCAGTCTAAGAAAGACTGAAAAATTATGACTAGTGTCTCCATAATTCCTTATCTCGTTTCTTTCAATGTTCTTAGATACATTTCGTCCTGCACCGGTATCTTGTCAACTTTAAGTACAGACAGTCTATTCAATACCACATCAATTTTGAACCATTCTAGTGACTGAATTTTCTCCTTTATCACCATGACCAAGGTTACTTTGGTAAAGACAGGTGCAAAGTATTAATTTGAAACCTCAACCATGCCCTTTGCTTCCAAGATTATATCCTCTTTGATCCCTGTTGAGCCGTACTCCTGTTTTTACCCTTTATGCACCGTGGAAAACTTTAGGATTCTACTTTAAGTTAGCTGTCAGTTTCTTTACATAGTTCCCTTTTGTTTCTTTTTTTTTTGCTTTTGCACTTCTCTTCTACATTCAGCCTGATTATCAATGTATTTTCTAAGTACACTTTTTCTTCACCATCTTAATTTCTACCTTCTGTTTCATCCAGGGAGCTCTGTATGTGTTTAACCTTCCTTTCCCTTTGAGGTAATCTACCTTACCATGGCCAAACCATCTCTTCTTTGAAGGTAGCCCTTTATTCAGCTACAGTTTTGCCTGCCAACCTGTGGCTCTAGTCTATCCATTCCAGGATCATTCTTGCCCAATTGAAGTCAGCTCATCCACACTCCAGATTGTTCACTGTTCTTTTCTACGGTCAACCTAAGCCTATGAAATAACAATTATGGTTCCCAAAAACGTTCCCCTAACAATTGAATCAATTTAACTCAACTCATTCTAGGTTTAGCAATGCCTCCTTTCCCGTTGGGCTAGACATATACTGCTTTGGAAAATGAAGATGATCCCAGTCACTGAATCTAAGCACATTTTCCACTGGCAGAGAATTAGGCAAATTAAAGAGCATGCAGCACCTCAAACTACCTGAAAATGTGAGCAACTTAGCACCACTATGTAGGGTAAAGAACAAAAACATTTAGCCCAATGCGTTTTTTTTTAATTCCTTTTTGCAGAAGGTGATTGTTAACAGCACCAGCATTTATTACCCACCTCTAATTCCTATTAATAGGAATAGGAAAGGTTTGCAGGCACATGGGCCAAAGGCAAGCAGATGGGACTAATTTAGTTTGGGAACATGGTCAGCATGGACTATTTGGATGAAGGGTCTGTTTCCATGCTGCATGACTCTAAGTAATAGCAATCTGGTTCCAAATCAGGACAGTGTGGGGCTTGGAAAGTATTCTACAGGCTGTATTGCCATGTGCCTGCTATCCTTGCCCTTCTAAGTGGTAGAAGTCTTAGATTTAAGACTGGGATCTACGTTCAACACAAATCGAAGTTTAAAGTCAGCAACATAATTAATGTTGGATTTTCACATGCAGCAGTTACATAAATACAATTCATTAATAGTGAGGATTTCAATTCAGCTATGCGCAAGTTATTGCTAAATCTAGCAGTTCTTTGCAGACGAAGATTTTATGAAGATTGCACTTATTAGCTGCAGGCCTACTGACTTGTCACACCTCTACAAGACAGGCAAATCTATTACAATGGGTGCCATGAGGGTGTTGTCACCACTGGAGACAGTTGGATCTATCCTTCTCCAATTTTCTCTATCCTGGTCACTGTTCACTCAAAAGATCCCTGTTGTGCTCCTGATGTAGTATCCCCTAGCATCACAAGCCATGTCATGCAATTCTCACTGGCAATGGGCACAAGATGCCCCTGAAACATTTGCATGGGACCTCTCTATTCTTTTTAGGTGCGGTCAGCTCTCTGCACAGCATGAGCTTGGAGAGGCTACTATCACTCATCCGGGCAATGCGACTTGCCCAACAGCTTCTTTGCAGGGGCTGGCCTTATTACGCGAGGTTGGCAGTTTCCAAACTTTCAAATGTGTGTGATGCAGTCTTGCCAGCAGATCTGAAGGATGAAAGTGCACTAAAAGGCACACAGGTTAGCAGCACAGGACCTATGTCAGTGCCATTCAGAAGGGTGGTGAGGACTACCTTTTGGACAGCAAGTTTGGTTTTTGCTCCAAGGCAACGATTGTTCGATACTCATTTGTAGACCGAGCTGAATGTGCCATTTCCAATAGAAAGCCGATAGTCCACTTGCCTGTAGTAGTATCAAATGAAATGAAACTCCCCAAATAAGTAAATTTCTTGACAGCATTTAGCTCAGTTCCTTCAATATGAACTGTTTGGTGGCCTACTTTTTTTTTTTTTTAAAAATGCAAGCTGAAGAACTTCAGTTTTCTTTACACAAATTTTTAGTCTGAAGAATCTGCTACCTCATAAAAATGCCCCATTATCCACTGCATGTAGTCCAGGATTGCAGAGTCATCACCAAAAGAAAGTTCATGGATGACTTTTTCATGTGTCTGTGCCTGCAGACATCCAAGGTTGAAAGGATCTCTCTCAGTCTGGAAGCACATGTAAACTGCCAATAAAAGGAAAATTCTGTTGCCCGCTGCAGGATAATGTTGAAAAAGATGGTGACTACAGTGGAGGCCAGCCGACATCCCAGCTTCATGCCACTGGAGATTCGGAAGAGATTTGAGAGGTCTCTTGTGCTCAAGTT